TTACCAGTTTACTCAGACTAGTAAGAGTTTGAAGGGGAGTATTATGAGATGATTAGTTCATCAACAGACGAACTACAAGACAATGACTTCATAATGTCTCAGTTAGAATACATACAATATAAGGACGAGAGACACTGAGCAGTCAATCGTCACCTCACCCCTTGTCTATGCATGCCCCCCTTAAGTTCTCCCTCTCAACAGTATCATATGCTGATAAAATGACTATCCTTAAGGAGTCTTGGAGGTTTGTATTGCACATCCCGCTTGGATGTAATACAATTGTCACTGACAAGCGCGGGGTATCTTCCGAAGCTACCATGTGCGTCGATATCGCCGCTCACTTCCCCGAGAATCCGTTCGCAGGTATTGTCTACCTCTGCGGGCTGCCCCACGTCGGTCCAATAATCCAACGAGTTATAACCCCCGAGGTCCTCAGCATGGTTTCGGGTCTCGTCTCCGAGGATTCTATCGCAACGTCCCTCTCCACGATGCGCACGTTTATCGACTTGCTTTTCCTCAATCCAACGAAAATTCCATGGGAGTTCCGAGTCCTGTTATTCGGAATGACTGGTCTACAACGACCTTTTCATCGTCAACTCACGTTAACTCGGCATCAAGACCCATCCAGGCTTTTTGAGCTTGGTAAACAGGGACTTCCATTGCTCGTCCTTGGCGGATCATATGATAGGCAGATAATGAATGACGCCGTTGCTGCCGAGATGCGTCCGTATTTCAGGAATATGGAAGTCCACTCCATCGAGAAAGATGGAAGCCATGCTGTCTTTTTAGAGAACCAGGAGGAAACGATGGATAGAATTTTAGATTTTGCTCGAAGGGTGAATGCCCGAGCAAAGTTGTGACGCATAATTCAAACTCGTGGTGATCCTATTATCACCAAGGCTTTATTGGCTCTCTTCTTTGTCCAAAGATTTAATGGTAATGGAGGAAATTTTGCATGTAGAAGATACTTGTAATGCCAGCTCGAACATAGAGTGTGCTGTATGCGACATGTTGCTTCCCGTGATATTATATCATCATCAGTATTGCAAATTAACGTCCTTCAATCAAAGGTAAATCGAAGCCAAAAAAAAATACACTGCCTATGAGCACCTAATTCAGGTTGCACTCTCACAAAAATCACTCATTTTTAATGTTATTTTATTTTATTGTGATTTTCTGATTACATTACGCTAATGACTTGAGAAAGGGTAGCGCTACATGACGCGTGCTACTTGTATACCAATACCAATATCGCCAAAATCACTGCCAACCAGCCGAGCCGTGCTAAGATTATCGCCATAAAAGACGTAGCTATGTGAATTAGAAAACGAAAACGAGACCAGATAGCACCTTATCAAGGCCAAAGGCAAATTTGTTGCCAGACTTGTAGAAGAAAACGGGAAATCTGTGTAAGAGGAGGAAATAAGTTGGATATGTCGAGCGCGTCGTGCTACACTAGTATTGTCCGTAACATGCAGCCGAATTACCATGGGATATATGCGCGTATGTATAATATTGATGAACATTCACGACTGTACTAGGAAAGCGGAATATGCGTGGACGGGAATCGTACAACGATTGCAGTGATGTTATCTGTTGATTCCTTTAATGCATGTTGAACAAGTATGCTGCTCGCTTGTTGAGGGTCCGTTACATTTCGGACCATATCGACGGCTTCTTGGTCAGAGGTAACGTCCCAGACCTAGGTGAACAAAACGCCTTCGATCAGCGTTCTGAGAAACAAATTATAAAACGAATAACTTACCCCGTCACAAGCAAGGATTAAAAAATCATCATCGTCGCCAAGCTCGGTTTCCGTAGTATAGGGGGCTCCAACAACGAAGTCCTTCATAGAAGAATCGCCAAGAGACCGAGTCACCGCAAGAATGCCGTTGACGCGTCCACTAATTACAAGTCCGCCTGCGTCCAAAATCCGTTTCGCCTCTTGTTTATCACTGCCCTTATGGTCATATGTTAAACGGACCGCCTTGCCGCCACGGCATAACACAGCACGTGCGTCACCCGCATTCGCAGTGTACAATACACGCCTGAGTTGTGCATCTGGTGGAGGCGTTATGGCTTCCCTCACGTCCCCACTGAGGAAGTCGGAGCTTGAATTACCAGGTTTCGCATCCTCACCCACCCCATCAACAGAGCCATTCGAACCAGTTAAAGATTTGATAGCTGAGACAACTTGGCTGCCTTTATTGAGTATCATACTCCGTTTTCTCCGGTCACCTGACGGACTGTCTGACCGTGGAGATGGCGGATCTTGTTGCGAATTTTCAGGTGTTGGGTATGGTACCGCCTCTTGAGCCGGAGAAGCAACAACTGTCCGATCACGATCATGTGAAGTTGTTCCGCCAATGTCAAGTCCTTCAATGAACGACTGTTTTCCATTTGCGTCTTCAATGCGCAAGAACGCCGAGACAGCTGTACAACCAGAATGCATCTTTTCATTGGATGCAGCAAGAGCAGACAGCGACGAGTCGACAGCGTGGAAAGTACAATTGAGCACATCGGGAATCGGCAGTTCGGGATGCTCGCGCAATTGCTCAATTAGGTGCTCATGAAAATGTCGTCCACACCATTCCGCAGCATACTTGCCCGCATGTCCGTCAAAAACAGCAAAATACCCTTGACCGCGTACACGGGCAAAATCAACTACGAAAGAGTAAGCGTCTTCCATAGTCCGCCGCTGTCCCTTGTCATGATGTACACCGACTTGGAACGCGACATTCCCGGGCAGGTGTTGATTGAGCATCTGCAAGCCTCATTAGCAAGCACATTTCATGTGAATGATTAAGTAGGCATACACCGTGTGTGTCCGGTCCCACTGCAGTCGTGATCGATTTTGATCGAGCATTTGGCGATTCATCAAATTTGGGAGGCTTGCTGTCTGAGTGTGGTTTTGTGTCTAATGGGAGCTTGAAGTCTTCTGGGGATTGTGTCAACACAGACGATTCTTTGGTTTCATCTCTGAGTAACAAGAAACAAGTGTCAGCAATATGACCTAAAGTTGTGTATATGCAGCATTCCCAAGCCCAAGCAAGATGAGTCAATGTTGTCTTTCATGAAACTAGTCACAAATACGCAATCGCAAGATGAGAGCCTATCACGTACGATGACCAAACCAAGTGCATCGGAATCGATCGAGCCACCATCACAACATGCATTATATTACGTCTGTGCATATACGGAAGATGGCAATCGCATGGTCGGGATGGCGGGCGCCTATGGTGCAACAGTATACAAGCTAACGCCGATCTGTCACTTCACATGTCGCCTGCCCTGCCGCTTCTTGCAGCCAGAGCACACGGCAACGCCACCCTTCACACGCGAATCGACCTCCACACAAGGCGCCAGTGCCATCAGCAATGCAGGAGACGATTGTACTTACTGAGTAAGACTCATTTCAGGAGGCATGAAAATGTGATCTGTGTCTCCGTCGCTTAGTCTCGAGCCTCGCAGCGCAGTCTCGTTGCAACCAATGGATATCGCAAATACGAAATTTGACAGTCAGGAGGGGTGAATGATGTTCTCCGGCGTAAATAAGGAGGAGATGGTGGTGGTCTTTAACAGAAGAATGAAAGCTGTGATGTATGGAGAAGGCGGAGCAGTAGTGGCCACTCCCAGTTATTTGGCTGCAGCTTCTGGACCTGAGGTTACGTAACCGCTTTCCCGCACCCCGCGTCATAGATACGTCACGTGGCTCATGGGCTGCCACAGAACAATGAGGAATCGACAGGGGGACACGCGTTCGAAGACACTGACAACATTGACACGGCCAAGGAGCGCAAGAAACGACGGAGGACATGCTTGACATACGAAGGCTAACTTTCGTTGTGCTGAGCAGCGCTCTACTCTTTGGCACGATTTATTCTGTGGCCCGGCACAGTTACCTTGACACGTCTGACCCGCTCGTCGCGCTCGGACATGTCAAGCACCCATTGCACGATGTGTCATACTTTTCTCGGAAGACCAACGTCCTTAATACTGTTTTTATCAAGCGCGCATGGGGGTGGACAACGGCCGCCTTTGTTGCACTCTGGGCAACGGCTCCGCGAAGCATCTCTGGCCCCGGCCTGCGGAGCTCTTCCGTGAGCACACGAGAACGGATTGGTAAATGGCTTGTGGCAACCCTAGTTTGGCTCATCTTCACATCTTGGTTCTTCGGTCCCGCTGTATTCGACCGGCTGACCACGTTCTCTGGTGGTGAATGTGTCGTACGGCTCCCGTCTGGCAGGGTGCATTCCATCCCGCTGTCATATTGTCATGACAAGTCCTACATTTCTCCCGCGACACACCCCGAGATATTTTACATTCCGCCCCTTGTGCTAGACGAAGAGCTCGCCGCTGACTGGCGGTCAAAGCCCCGGTTGATGAGAGGGCATGACGTATCTGGACATATCTTCCTCCTGACAATGAGCCTCCTGTTCTTGGCGGACATGGTTCGCCCGTCTCTTGCCATTCCTTCCCGGACCCCGTCTACTGCGCATAGTCTCGCCTTGGCCGCAACAGCGGTCCTGATGGCAATTTGGGTGTTTGCAATATTCACGACAAGCGTTTACTTTCATACTCCATTCGAGAAGCTGACGGGATATGGTGTGTTCTATTTTCACTTCATTATCACATGCATGCGTATACTAACGTGTATCCCAGCTCTCGGGCTTTTCGGATTTCTGATTACACAGCTTCCCTTCTTGCGGGAACGAATACCTGAAATCCACGGCGACTGAGAGCATGGAGAATCACACCACCGTGTATTGTACAGATCTAACCTAGCTTTATATTAATTCAATTTATGTGCGTATTGTGTCACAAGCCGTCTCTTATCTGACAGAATTCATAACTTCTCACGTAGCATTTATATAGTGTCAAGATGCACGTGCACATAGCTACACACGTTCTCATCCAGTTACTATTCCCGTATGTCTTCCACATGTGCTGCGGAGTTATCCACCGTATTCCACCAATGGAAGGAATATAAAGAAAGGCACGTTGCTTGTCAACATGTGCAGCCTCTAATCTACACCCGTAGCGTCTATCTACCCAAAGCTTGAACCTAGCCAATGGCTGTGATGGTTCACGACGAAGCAGACACTTGAGAAAATCGGTGCAAGACGTCGGTTAATTTCTGTCCTGCCGAGTTCTCCTGGACAACAAGTGGATTCCTTAAACGTTCTAGACGAGGAGGAAGATCCATGTGCTTTCTCCTTTTTCGGCCGCCGCTACCATATCCGAATTCCATGGAACTTCTATCAATATTCCATTGCTTCCAGGTGTCTTCAGTGCGTTTGCCAGGTCGCCACTTTGCATCACCTGCACCCATGCTCTCCTATCTGTTTCTTCTGTTCCACTTGGTGTGATCAACGTGCCCAGGTGGTACAACCTGGTTCTGCTCTTTCACTGTGCTATTTTACTCCCCTTTGTGATCTTGATATGGCTTGATGTGGTAACTACAGACAACTGAGCTGAGCCCTTATGTCGACCGATACCGAGAATGGTCCTTGCACCGTGACACTGACAAAGTCGGTAGAACAACTAGTTTAACGGCACCGAGCGTTTCGGGGGAGGGGTATTCCGGAAACACCGTGGATGTGAGTTGAGGCCGGCACTTCTGTTCGGACGTGTAATCAAGACCTAAGCAACGGCTTCTGAGTCCTGAATTAGTTCTTGCTGGCAGGACATAAAAGGAGCTAAGTCTGATACTGTCCTGTTTCTTTGCTGCGTCTGCGCCCACAATCGCTGGTCTCCCTCCAGGGCTGTCTCCCGCTCCTGCCCGTTCCTTGTCCCTCTACGCTCCCTTTTCACTGCAGGGTATTCTCCCTTTAGCCCATACATAACTGTCACTCTCTATTGCTCTCGTTTCTACTGTATTGCTGTTCCCTAGGCAAAATGTTCGCTTCACTGAACAAACTAGTCCTCCTTTCGGGGATCTTGTCTGTCCAGTTTCATTCTACCACCCCACTGTATACGCGTGATTTGTGTGAGCGCGCAGTAGCATTCTTCGACCCCGCGGATGGAGGTGGGTCTATGTTGGATGATGCAGGCGACGGACTGGGTGAACCTCTCAATGTACGTCGCCCATCTTCTTCCCCTTTCACGTCCCCATCTTCGACTTCGACAAACTGCCGCCGTCGGATTCGCAGTTGAGTCTAAGTTGGGGTCACAGACATCGGGAGCTATTTCTAGATACATCAACGAGATGATTTCCAAATATGCTAACTTATTGCTTGATGTGTGCATGTGTCGTCATATATCAGGTGATCATCTCCGGCCTAAGCTCGTCAGATGTCCTCACCGACGACGGGTTCCTTAACTTCGCTCGTTCACTTGGCTTGTACGTCCTTCCTTCTGTTCCTTCTATTCCTCCTATTCCATTTATATTATACCCTACCTCCTATCTTACCTCTCCTATTTAACTATACATCCCGATATTCATCCCGAGCCGTGTTCCCTTGAATATGGTCTGACCTTCCGTTTTTGGATGATTTTTCGAATAGTTCGAATGAATGTTTGGACATCCACCTTGGTGATCCGCAGTCTGCCAATCTGGGAGATGGGAATGGCTCGGTCAACCAGACGATAGAACTGCGTATGGATTTTGGGAACAGTGAAGTTGGGACTTGTTTAGAAAGCCTTACTGGAGGGAATCATCTCAGGTTCGTATCTTCCATGAAGTTATTTAAATACCTTCTGAAAGACTTCCTCTCTCTGACTCTGTATACTACAACCCCTTCCAGGATGTTCCGCCAAAATGGACCTGCTGCGAACAGTGGCGCGCTTTTCTTAGCGTGAGTCCGGGAAAGCAAACGGCTATTAGATGTCAATAGGCGCTAATAATACATTCACATCGTGCAGAGTCTCCCAAGAAGAAAATGTTTTTGAACACCATACGATCTCTCCTGATGGGTACGATAAAGGACGGTACGTAATATCAACCCCTACCCACATTTAGTGTACTTCATAGACTCATGAATGTATTTGTAGAGACTCGTTGGTGTCCACTGCGACCGCAGGCCAGACAAGTTTCGATGGCGTAACGTACTCCTCAACGTCATCGGACATAACTGGGTTACTCACTGCTGGTACTGCGGGGATTAATCACGGTGAGTCAATAAATACACAGTTTGTAGTATCATGTTTTTTCATGCGATGTGCACAATGGTAGACATTGCAATCGACGGAATCGTCAAGCTTCTCACTGTGACGATCGTCTAGACTCCCCCTTTGCCCAACAACCAGGAAAGGTATACTTATTTCCTCAGGAGCTTCGACGCTGTTGTCAACTTAATGATTTATTTGTCTGGGCTTGCACGGATTCTTCCTTTGCATCGGCTTATATACTTGCATTTATTTCGCTTTTTGTTACGACCTGTGATGACATTTAACACTGTGTTTATTCTTTGTACTTATTTGACGAGACCAAATTAAATGAGAGTTGTTGGTTTTTTACGTCGCTAACCGACCTGTATGCATACGGCCGATGATTTCTGTCAAGGTACTTCAATGTTCGTATTCGTAGGACTCAGTAACTGGATGCTGACCCGTGAGAAGACATTACGTGAGATGAGATAGACGCAAATGTAGACTCTTTAGGGTCTTCTACTGTACTACGAATTTCCTTAGCTCTTGCCACTAGATCTCATCTAAGTATCCCCAGCGTGTATCGCGTCGTCGTTCTCCCGAACACATCTGTGTGACCCAATAACGGACTTCCCCAGAACAATGGAGTCTTTCGGCAACGTTCCTTAGGGGAAGGGCACTTTTATGCACTCGCAGCAAGAGAAGAAGTTGCTAGACGTTGCCTGGACCTGAGGCACTCAGTGAAGCAAGAAGCTATCGGCCGTTCGCACGTGGTATTATGTTTGCTCCTTCTTCTGGAGTATGTGCCCTCAAGTTCTTGCGAGGACGAAAGGCAACCCAGAGAAGGAGTGAGTGCTTGACTAATGGAAGTCTTGCCGACCGAGCTGCTCTTCGAAGTGCATGTGCTGGACAACCTGGACTAATTACTTTGTGTTCAAGCTTGCTTTAGGCCGGTATTGTCGTCATCTTTGTTATAGCTGGTGCAAATTTTAGTTTTACGTGGTAATCAGTTTCACCGGCAGAACGACACAACATGATTCTTACCAGCGTATACCCACATACTTTGCTTCCTCTGGCGATTCAAGGATGCCAACTGCTTACCCCGACTAATAAAATAGCTTACCTCGATCTCCGGGTTTCACCTGTACAACGCACGGCCTTTAATTCACTGGTCGTGCTGCTGATCCCAAATTTTCAGGAAGCATTGACGAACACGCCGCAATCGTCTGCGTCTGCACTACCTGACTGGACTAGACTATTAGCGGAACGTACTCGCATGGACTCTGGATTTACCGAACAAATTCGGACAGGAAGATCATGGGCTTTCTTTACTTTCATGGTTAGATGAAGTACTATCTCAAGCGCAAGTAGAGGAGTCTCGAACAATTTGCGATTTTTATTTACTGCACGAAATTGCTTTTAACCCCCCAGTCAGTCACTATACTTCACGTCCACAGGAGATAACGGCCCGATCATTTTGCCGAATCTCAGATTATCCATGGATTCAATTTCCCCACATCAAAACTCTGAAACTCACAAGCGTACGCATGCCACGTGAGAACAGCCGTTGAAGAAATTAGGTTCTATGTTCCATTCTTCTTGTGTCTTCCGTCAACCTCTGACCATCGAAACGGAGGTCCGCATGGACTTTCATTCATTGACTATGCTTAGAGCGAATAACAACGCTAATGGACTCTCCAAAAGCGGATGTGTTGCATTTCCTTACATGATAAACGTTTTCCCATGAGAATTTGCCTTCCTAACTTACGCAACTCCCATCGGAGAGGGCGCGAAGCGCTCCAATCAGGCTTCATGATCTTCTTATCCTTCAGGCACGTTACCCGCTGTGCAAAACACCGAGGGTAGAAGACTAAATTGATTCCGCGCGTTCGGCAGGAGACCGACTAAAGTTGGAATACCAACTCTGGCTTCTGGGCGCAGTTCTCACATAATAAAATCTTCCGTCATAACACATGGGGATGGCACGGCTTTGCTGCCTTCACCGTCATCCCCCTCTCCTGACGTTCTGTCTGTACCCGAATTGGATTGTGCGCAATGGAGACGCCAAGCACGCTTCCGCCTAGAGATGTGGCCATCGCCATGATTGAACATGGTGTAATGAAGCATAGGACGCGATACGACAAGGTCTTCTTTAAAGTAGGTTATAGCAGCAGTGATCTCAGGTTTCAGCGCGCTGACTAGCTAACTACACGACTGATCAATCTAGTCCGTCATTGCTGGTGCCTTTTTGTCTACGGGAGGTTTGCTCCTGATGATCATAGAGGGAGGATCGCCGCAGTTGAACACAGACAATCCGGGTATCGTCAAGATTTTGGGAGGTGCTGTCTTCCCCGTTGGCCTCATGATGTAGGTTCCAGGGTTATTCGTATCTTCTCAGAAGTCAGTTGGAATGAATCTGCTTTCTACCCAGGATTGTCCTTACTGGTCAGGAGCTACTCACGAGTAACATGATGGTGCAGACCACATTGCTTATCTTGAGCCCGCTGATTAAAATCGCCTCTTAGGTGTTCCCTATGGCGTGGATGAAGGGTGCCATTCCGTGGTGGAGTACATTTGTAAACTGGATTATAGGTAAGGAGAACATCAACGATCGTGTTGATATATTCCTGACAACGGGACGTAGTCCTTTTCGGAAATCTCGCTGGTAGCCTGTTCTTCGCAGCTGTCCTGGTCAAATGTGAATTTTGGTTCACGTATCGAGGAAACTGCAATTTACATCTTGACAGATACTGGAATTATATCAATGGCACCTTACGAGCAATTTATGAGAGACTTTGCCATGTGCGCAGCGCGCCATTTGTTTCATCCCACGGAGCCATGCGCTCATAGAGACCTCTTATTCTCACACTCACAGAAAGAAAGCCGTAACCCCCGAATGGCATCAAATATTCCTACGTGGCATTGCTTGCAATTGGTTGGTATGTATAGCAGTCTGGGTAAGTCAATTTTAGCCATGATCATTTGTCGTTGATAAAGCTAAATATATACTAGCAAGCTGCTGGTGCAAAGGAAACAATCTCTAAGGTTAGCATGATGGATAGGTCTGCACGGAGCGCCGCAAAGGCTGATGATCCACCAATGTCGCTTTTGCTTTGATAGATCGTTGCAATATGGATTCCTATCTGGGTACGCCTTGAGGTTCCACGCCTCTAAGCTTGAAGTTTTAACGAAAAGCCCTGCATCAACAGATATTCGTATCCTGTGGATACGATCACGGTTCGTGAATTATCACCGCTTGTTTTCCGCGGATCACTTACTACAGATTGGTTTTTACCTGGATACTTTAGTTGTCGGTGCGTTAACACGCTTTGCACTGTAAGGTCAAAGTCTGACGGATTATGGTCTAGCTAATATGTTCCTCGTCACTGTCGGCATGCTCTTTGGTGCCGATGTTCGTAATTTATTCTTGTCCTATAGGGAGAATCAACTCACAGTTACTTTATAGCTCTCAGTTGCCGGGTACATTCGAAAGTGCGCTGCGCTGTTGACGATCTAGCACCAGACGTTTACTTTTCACTACATAGGTCACTCATAGCGTCGTTCCTCGGCAACGTTGTTGGTGCACTCTGCGTCGCGGTCCCGGCGATCTACTTCTTCCTTTCGGACTACGACTACCGATTGGACTCGCGCAACCTACGTGGTGTAGAGGAAGGGGAGGCGTTGAATGAAATTTCGGACGTCAAGCATGATCGGATGAAGGATAACGAGAGCAACAACAGTGTGCAGAAAGCGAAGCGGGAAGATTGAGGGGTTGGACACGATGAATGGTGTCAAACATTTTCATGTATGATCTTCATGAATTTCGTCTTCGATTGGTGCTGTATAAGTTACGAATCCGTCGTTTCGTTTGTTTGTGGTGGTGATTTTTTGAGTCGATTTTCTAGCGGAGTTTCAATCATGACACGTTCCATGATCGGCGATGTGAAAAAGTCAAGGTTTGAGTTGAACGGCCACCTAACACCTTGAAGGAAGCCAACGAGTGTCAAATGCGTCACCTTCTAAGTGAACTCTCTTGGCATCTTGAACAAGCTTACATGCTTCTTACAACACAGGAGGTGTTGTGCTGTGTGGCGTGATTGCAGTCGGGCAATCAGCACGGCTTCTTTGCTACATCTCAGCAAATTCCGTGGGCCAAACATCCGTCCTGACTTCATATACGTCCTCAAGTCATTCATAGTTGAGTATGTCCACTCTCTGTATTCAGGTTGCATACATCCCACAGTCCTATCAGAAATGGTTTATCTGTGGCGCTTATCTATTGCAAGGCCCTTAACGGATTCAAAGCGAGCCGACGATCATTCGTTGTCGTTTGTCGCTCACCAATTCAGAAATGCATCTCATCTTGATTGGGTAGACCAGCTTTGAATCTATGAGATACGCTTTCTCGCATATTCACATCTGCTCGTTACTGTGGGCGGATATCAAACATGAATTACCCCTCTAACTCCGCGACAACATCAGCAAAGATAGTAAGTTCCAGAATTGCTAGACACTCGCTCCATATTAATCAAATGTCAATACACAACCCTAAATCAAACGCAGAGTCGGATTGATCGAAGAAATATACAATGACAGTTATGATTAGTCGGCAACATGAAAACTTGTTCGCAAACCACCACCTCTTGCCTCTGTACAGTTGAAAATACCTTATTGCATCACATTATAATGCATAAATCGAATATTGCATAGCTTTCTGCTTAATCCCAGCTCGGGATAAGGGAATTATGCATAAAAATAGTCTATTGCATATTGCATCAAGATTTGTGAGAAAATTATGCAAAATTCTGAGCATTTTGGGAAATTAGACTGCTTACTGTTGTGATTTTTGTACCCAGAAGCCTCACATATTGTTCTCTGACATACTTCAATACAAAAAGAATGTTTCCAATTAACATTTCATTGCTTACAATGTCTTTGATGCTGCCACAAGACCAAGATAGGGCAGCAAAGATCTCTTCATGATATGTGGGGGAAAGTTATTTGTATTGACTAGCTTTTTCTATCTTTTTGTTTCTACAGATTCTGACTGTATTTCCTTGTATTACAAACTATTTCTTGAGTTTTACAGTGATATACACATTTACTGTACTTGTCATTGTCTTGGTTAGCTTTCTTGATGCTCTAAATGTGCTTATTTTCTTGTCATAGTGTATATGTCTTCAAATAAATTGAAAAGTAATATCGAATTTTGCGTTCCTAATTAAGTAATATTTTCTCACGGTTACCATAATGCATATTGCTCATATTGCATAGGTCTGAGGCCTCTCCCGACGTTATGCAATAAGATATTTTCAACTGTATCAGCCATCCATTAATATTAAGAACGCCACCATTACAGAGAAGTCTCTTGGCGTCTCGAACGAACCTTATATACATGCTGTTCTATGTGGAGCGTGATTCCCGCTGCCTGCTTGCTACGTCTTTAGCAAATTCTATGGCCCGAACATCCAGACTGAGGTTAAGCACCTCCTCGAGTCACTCTTAATTGACTCGATCTACCCTTTGGCTGATTTTTTGCATATGTACCAGACTCCTATCAGAGATGGCTTATTCGTGGTTTTATTACTTGCGAGGTCCTAGCGAATCCAAAGAAAGCCACTGATCATTGGTGATCTTTTGTAACTCGCTGACGTAGAATTTGACCCCGCATTGATCGAATCAACCAAGTTTAAATCTGCAAAACGTGTTTACTCGGACATCTACATCTGCTCGTTACTGGCAGATGAAATATCAATCGTGAATCCCCACCCCCTCTAACTCCGCAATAGCATCATCATGATGTCGTGAGTACCCTGTCTTTATCCAATGTTCCTTGCTGCTCGTCCTATATTCACTTGACTCTAATTCACTATCCTAGATTAAGCACAAAGTCAAATTAATCGAAGAAATTTACGATGAGAAGTTGCGGGATGATGTAAGCAGTATTCAGGTCAAATGTGTAGAAGATGCCGCGCGGCCTCGGGACTACCGTTACCGGACTCTTCGTTAGCTATCCACTTTTGACGTGCTCAGTGTCGGCTTTCAGCTGGAAAGAGGACCCGGGAATAGAGTGAGATCGTCCCGAGGACTCGAGCGAATGGCATGGGTATTATTTAATGTCGCCGTTCCGACATCGGAACAGACTATTTTCCATGACCATGACATGTCAGAGCGAGGATTCAATGGAAAACATTTTCTACCTACTCTGCCTGCTCGGTTTGAGTGTCGTCGTGTGTCGAAGCGCGACAATACCGCCGAGCACTCCGCATCAAGATAGGGTCCAAGCATCCGAAGCTGCCTAATTAGTACGAGGAAGAACCTGTTGTGGAATGTGGGGTATAGCCGTTGTGCAAGTAGAAAGAAGATCGCGCCCGGCTGGAAGCCATATATCTCGCTCCGACCAGTACACCGGTAAATTGATACTGGAGTGTTCATCTCGGCGAATATTGCTTAAAACCCGTTCCTCGGGTCTATTGTTCTTCGTCCCTTTCGCGCCTCCCTCATTCCGATATTCTGTCGTTCCCTTCCCGTCCCAACGACTCGGTCGTGTTACCTTGGATATGAACCAGACAGTGCATGGCCTGTCAATGGGCGCCGTATTAATTACGTCTTGGTTTGCTATTGCATTGAGCGGTGTGATGCTCCTTCAAGCATACATCTATTATCGCGGAAGACCGCAAAATGATCACAGAATATTTGGCGCGATGGTGAGCAATATGTCTCCCATGTTATCTACTTGATACGTCGAGCTTAATCATGGTTTATTCGTTAGGTCTTAGTCTTGCTGTGAGTATACAAGATTGTCCTATACTTGAAATGGCTGCTCATTTTCGCCAACATAAGTATCCTCGACATGGCCCACGTCGTTTGCATTATGATCACACTTTATCACTATTTGATCAGGAACTTTGGGAATAACAATGCTCTAGCGTACTTAGTCCCGTGGGTCGTATTTCTTGTGTCCGCGTTAATCGTTCTAACTGCTCGATAGGTCACTTGCTGTGAGTCCACCCATGCAATATTTGCTCATTGCTGATAGCTTGATTCTTGAAGCTTACCGTTGGTTTGACTGTTCGTTCAAATTTTGTCTTTGCCGAGCGCTTGAGGTTTACTCGATTGAAACCAGGGTACAATCACATTCTTTGCTCAAAGGTACATTATAGAGCTTGCCATGAAGAACTAAAGCTCAAAAAACGACCTCCCTTAGTTTCTTTACATGGCGCGTCTGGAAGCGTAAGTTATCATACGTCTGTGACTAGGCTATACCTACCCTTTAATATAGTTAGTCGGAACAACGTCATTGCACCGATAATTGTGAGCGGTATCTCATCCCTTTGCTTTAGTATACTCATATGATTGTAGTTTGTGCTGCAGGTTGCACGGCTAAGTAAGGATAGACTTAAATTACCGAACTGTTGACTGACGTCCGTGATCTTGCATACAGTATCTGGATGGGGTGAATAGTGCATAGCTTAATCACTTGGATTGCTTCATTGATATCGTTTTCTAGTAACGACCGTTAAGGCGTAAGGATATTCTGCTTGAGATGTATCTCAGTCTTACCAACGACTTGCAACAGTATTGAGTTCGGGACATTCATAGCATGGACCCATCAGGTCCGGGTGAGTCTAGTGACTGTTCCAAGATTCCCATTAACTGCTAATGCTCGATTAGTGGATTTTCACTGCCGGAGTAGCCATAGCCGTTGTTTGCGACATTCTGATAACTGGCAGTCTCTGCTATTGGTTGCACGGAGTAAGCCTTTTTTTTCCAAGAAATGTTTTCTGCTTGTTCCTGACAACCGGGCCTTTAGTCACGAACGGGTCTCCATGGGTATGTGGCCTCCATTGTGCATGTCATGTATTGACACAACCTAATATCGAACACAAGCATGGATGAAATCATCGACAAAATTATCCTCTACTCCGTGGAAAACGGAGCATTGACATGGTGAATCTTACTGATATTGTGTACTAGCGACAAGCGCTAAAACATTGTTGACTTGATACAGTTTCTCGTCGATTGCTTCCCTCATATGCGTACGTTGTTACATTTCCGTATACTTCGATATCTCACATTATTTGACAGGCCATTATCATGCCAGGAAATCTTGTTTTCATTGGGATTCATTTTGTAATTAGCAAACGTGGGTAACTAAATTACTCTAGTCGAAATCAGTCAAGCTAACAAAAAGATACAATCAATAGTATATATCAACAGTGTCCTCGCCTCGTAAGTGCATTTGCAATTATGTGGCAGTGACTGCTAAGTTTTGTCGATCGAAGTTTGAACACACGCAACTCCTTCCGAGCGCAAAAAGAACGCCACGGGCGTAAAATTTTCACCGGTCTATTTCAAGATGTCCAGGTGTCTAGAGAGAACGGGTCAGGTTCAGTCCGCGAGGTAAGGATCACGATTGTTGCGAAATCATATTACAACTGATAGTTGATTGACTATATTATTGGTTTCAATTCAATGTCCAACAGAGTTCATATGCGCTTCAACCTCCTAAGTCACCATCTCGGGCTCACAGTTCTCACTTGTCAGCTTCATCTCCGTCCATTGGTAAGGTATGTTCACATTTGTACTCTGGGGACAGGTCTTGAGCTTACTGGGAGACTGTGTCGGCCAGGACGAAGCGATTTCACAGACCGCTTTTGATTTTATTATTACTAACATGAGGAGGGAAGATGGTATGACTATGGAAGAGGCGTTTGACACCAAAAATAAGGTTTAATGCAAATAAAAAAACTCTCTCGTGTATGACTTGTTAAGTTTCGTTCTTTTCTGCTATGTCTTGTATCGTTTAAAAGTTGTATGCCTTCGGCATTTTGTCGATTTTTCTTGACATGTTTACTTTTCGTACGTTTGATCTTCCATTGTCTACTCTTGTCGGATCCTTCATGAACAATGTCTAGGAGGAATAGGTTTTGCGTGCAGAGAATATAATATATACCAAATCACGTTGAAATACAAACACAGCTAGAGAGTCAAATATACAAATTCGGATATCTGTAAAACGTGCACTCAATACAAATCAGCCGTCTCAGCCATTCCTTTCTTGGTATCATTAAGTTCAGATGTCACGACGGAAGGTCTTTTCTATGACGTCATCGACAAGGCGATATCCGTTTGTCGCGAAGAGACGAGAGTTGAGGAATGGATGTGTGTCGAAGATATCATGTTCTTTCGCCTTTATAGACATGTTATCAGTCAAATTGGAGGAGTTAGTGCTGCGAAGAACCACTTACACGTTCGTCCAACTCCGATACGTTGATAGACACCTTCTCGGGTGGCTCTCCGTGCTGCATCTGGTAGAAGCGAACCTTATCCTTGACGATCTGGCCGAGGAGGAACGCCAATAACTCCTCATGATCTCTTGCTTGAGTGAGGTATTTGCGGAAGCCCTGATATCCCTCAAGTCAGCATCTCTGTTTACTTCTTTGTGAAAATAGAACGAAGGAAGAAGCGAAACGTACTCTCTCAAGCGTCCTCTTAATAGATGTCTTCTGCGCACTGACGAAGCTACCGACCATGACTGAAATAGCCAAGTCAACGTCGTCTCCCCGGACGTACTCCCGCAGGTGCATCTTTGCACTGGCCTCGGCCATTCGAATCATGCTTTCGAGATGACGGACGGTGATGGGGATGGAGCCTGTTGCGAGTGATTCGCGACGGAGATCCGCGAAGAGACGGGAGAGCTTCTCTTGGTCGAGGTCGAATAGTTTGGGACGGATCTTTTCGCGTGCGAACATGATGTATTTTCGGAGGAGGTCTTGTGGGATCATCTGGAAATAGCCTTAGATCTAGCAAAGTTCAAAAGGTATAGTCTGGACATACATCTTCATCGAGGGACGTGCCGACATCCATCTCTTCCGTTTGAGAGTCAAAGAGGGGATGACTCCGACGATGACTCCCAACAACAAACTTTGCTAGAAGCTCGTCCGCTACTGGGTCCACGCTATCCTTCACCACGCAGAGCACATCGAAACGCGATAAAATTGGTTCGGTCAGCTCAACGTTTTGCTGGAAAGGTATGGTCGGGTTGTAACGGCCGCGAATTGGGTTGGCAGCAGCGACGATTGCACAGCGTGCCTGCAGTGTCGTAACAATCCCGGCTTTTGAGATCGAAATGGACTGCTGTTCCATCGCTTCGTGGATCGACGTCCGGTCTCCATCGTTCATCTTGTCGAACTCATCGATGAGACAAGTTCCCTTATCTGCAAGAACAAGGGCGCCCCCTTCAAGAGTCCACTCCCGCGTTACTGGGTCCTTGCGCACGCTAGCAGTCAAACCGACTGCAGAAGCACCTTGACCTGTCGTGAAAACAGCACGATGTGCAGTTTTCTCAACGTACTTCAGGAACTGCGACTTCGCAGTACCTGGGTCACCGAGCATAAGCACGTTGATATCCCCACGAATACGATGCTTGCGGTTGATATCCTTCGACACACCACCAAAGAGTGACAGTGCTATCGCTGTCTTGATATCTTCATGTCCATAAATCGATGGCGCGATGGACTTGATAATACGCTTCCGAATACGTTCGTCACGGGCGAGAGCGCGGATTTCCTTTTCGTCTTCCTCAGTGAGTCGGAATGCCGCGAATAGGTCTTCCTTTTTATTGATGTGATTCGCCTCAATGACAGTTGAGAAGACGGGGAAACCATTCTTGGAGTTCAGTGATGCGTCAAAATTATTACGGTATACACCCGTAATCTCCTGTCATTGCAGTGAGCACAGTGAAGTAACGGTCGAGGGAATGGGAATGGACGTACAACTTCTTCACCAGGTTTGGCCGAATCAATCAGGTCCCATAGAAGGACAACCTCTCGGTGCCTAGGAAGACGCCCTGGTGGTACAGAACCAGGAGACTCCTGCAGTGTCATCTTTTGGTAGTTACGGTAAACCGTCTGTTCATAGATCGTCAAAGCTTGTCGTTTTAGATTCACGCAAAAAATGTACCTGTTCCTGGTTAACCCTGAATGGGCCCCTGCCTTCACAGGCTGGACAGTAGCTAATGCCGACTTCTTTGCTAGCGTCCTGGTAAAATGGCCCGAGGACCGCGCCACATTTCCTGCAGTCGAACTTGACATATTTAAGCTGCGGGAAAACTCCGCTTCGACGCGTGACTACTCCAGAGACGCGGACGAGATTGTTGAGATGAACACGACGGAGATCACGCAGGGACGACGTGGAGGGTAGGTCCGTGATACGAACATGAATTTCGGAATGGATGCGTTCATAATTAGGGTAAGAGATGAGGACGACGGAAAGAGCAACCTCGTCGAATATGTTTAGCATCGCGGTCGGACAGATGACCAGGAAATACGCAATGACCGCTATTGAGTCCGCTAGATGTGTATATGAGACCTCCAGGGACTCCGCATTATCTAAGAGTATACGATTGGTTTATAGCACATGTGATATTGTGAGGCACTCACTTTCGCCAAGATTCCGGATACGAGGATAATGAACTGAGTTTCCTTGTTCATCGGTGTACGAGGTCAAAAACTGGCGGAAATGCTTGGCGATTGAATGCCGGACTCGAATGTTGGAGATCCATTCAGCGACGGAGTTCGCCTTGATATCATGCAGCTGTTCAAGTGGTATCTCAGCTTCCAATCCAGCTACATCGTCGACCTCGATGCGTTCATCGTATTGACGCCGTGCACGCCGTTTCATGCCGGACAAGAGACCCCCGTCCAAGCCTTCTTCCTCACTCTCCTCGCTCTGGAGGAAGTCCGGAGCGCGGGTACGTGCAGCGGCGCGTGCACCACGGCGGCCTTGCCGCTCCCGTCGATCACGCAGCGCCATTGCTCTCTCTGCCGCTCTCCGTTGTGCACCAGTCATCTCACCAAATTCTTCCTCGTCATTAAGGTCCGCTGCGTCGTATGTGTCGAGCACTTGGTTTTCTGCATAATCTCTGCAAAACGACAGTCAAGTCTCAGGTCATGATTAACTTTGGTATGATAACACGCACTCAGCCAGTGTTTCGCCAAAGAGGTCCTCCCCGTCGCCCTCGTCGTCAACCGCATCGTCATCCACATCTTGCACCGCGTCCTGATCGCTGGAAAACTCATCCGTGTCCTGGAAAGCGGGCGGTGGAGAAGAAGGTGGAAGCGATGAGCCTGACTGTCGTCGCTGCGTCGCACCTGGACGCGGCGTGTCCGTCGATTGGGCACCGACACGTGAAGGTGACCGCTGTCGCTTTGGGCGGCGTGGGGTGTTTGCAGGAGATGAAGACTACAAAAACACGCTTAGAATACGTTTTCAAGATGCACACAATTGCAAGCGCTCACCATGATGGCTGGTGAGAGACAAGGACGCGACGATGGCAAAGGACAGGCGACGCGACACGCGAATTATTGCTTTTCAGTCGGAGCTTCAAACCGTTCTCCTTACATAAGTTGGAAAATTAAATACAAAAAAGAAATATTACAACTGGCATTTCAATACAGTGAATCCTTCATTACATCCTGTCTGAACATTAAGATTTAGGCTGCATTATTTAATAATATATGCACGATAGCCCAGAAAGCACCACGCCGAAATCTATCCAATTCTGGGTCAAGATCTGATCTATAGACGACTTCTACGCGAGTTCTCCTCAGGGATAGTCAGTGCCATCTGCGTGGCAATGGCCAAGCAGACTTGTTTTTCTCGCCACTCTGCATCTATCTTCTCCGACTCTACCCGTGAGCCCGGATTCGCGCTGCCTATTGTCGACGGGGCGGTCCAGATTTCTACGTATGCATCGTGACGTCCCTCCGACATGAATCGCGCTGAAGAGTAAATGCCAACTGTTCGAGGAGAGAAGGGCGATTGCGAAGACCCAGAATTCGAAATAAGGGATGGAATCCGCGACTTGAACTCCAAGGTCAAGACCACAGTTGCAAACCAACTATTAAAAAAGGATAAAAATTATGGAACATCGTCAGTCACTTGGGTCAGACGAAACAAATTAAAGCTGTACCTTGGACCTGGCCTGTGTTCCCGTGGTAAGAGACTGGGTAGGTTCTTCATTGTATCCCCGAGGAATGGCATCATGGCAACATCCAACACATCCTTCGGATCACTGAATTCGAGCCATGCACCCCATTCGAGTCCGCAGTCCTGTGACGCGACAGCCTCTCCTGCAGCCTGTCGTTTCGCGCGTTCTGCATTCCTCTTCTCGAAAAATCGATCCTCTGATTTAATCTGATACAGATACTTGTCGTTCGGTCTATCAGGAGTAGCAAGAGATGGATGCTGTGAAAGTGGGATTCGACGTGCGTTGGGTGATGGTGGTGTTAATGTAAGAGGATTCGAGGATGCAGATAGTTCTGTGAGGTCGGGTATCACACCAAATATCATTCTAGCAGTAATCTTTGGCTTTCCCTGCGAAAGAGTAAGAACCAGGCCAGAATATGCAAAACATAACGGAGAAATGCACTAACATCTTGAACAAGATCCGCATCAATGTTCGTAAACCTCTTGCCTCTTCTCGTTACGTTCACGCGGACTCCAACTTCCGCAATGTCGACAGGTTGCAAGAAGTGTGCTGTGAGATGCACAGGGTCAGGATGAGGCGTGTTTGATTGTAGGTCACAAGCTGACGACAGTATAAGACCAACAGCATAGCCTGTACGTCATAAAACAGTTTATCAATTAGTTAAACTAAAGACTAGCGGCGATGTGCAGTTTACATACCGCCTTGAGGTATACTACGGGTATAATTAGTGAAAATTAATAGAGGTCATTGCAACGACTCACCCTCCAATACACCATTCTCTCGATATGTCGGTCTTGTAATAATGGCAGCCCTCTTGAGAAGACGAACCAGGGATCTTCGAAACTCTAAGTGCTTCATGAAGGCCCATGATAGTGAGTTCGCCAACTCAGCATCTCAAGAAAGGACAAGAGGACTACTTTTCAAGCATGAGAGACGGGGATCAAATTCCAACCTTGGTAATCTCCGGTCCGGTAACTGTACCATTGCACGTGAAATGCTGAGGCACGTGCCGTTCATTGAATCAATATGATTCCGTAAATTCATCAACTCTTATTGGTTAACCTTTGACCCCCACTCTGCAGCCTCTGCTTAACCTGCTCCATGCAACAGGACACAAAAGACTCATCTCGTCCTATTCGTAATGACTATCATTACTTCCTGACATACCGAACTCGCTGGAGCGATAATGATCAATACTCACACGTCAACAACGCAATATATTACCACCTGATCGACTCTGTCGTAAACACTTACCTCGCAGAGCGCTGTGGGTGCCGGCCTTCCGTGCCATCATCACCAAACGGAAATGCAAGAGAAGGTCCACCGATAGGCCTGGTAGTATCATCGTATTGCAACTTCTTTGCACCGCTTTCGTTTCCAGAGCCTGTCACACTAGGGTTGAGAGTCGTGAAATTGGGGAAGAGTTCCGTTTCGTATGAAGTTGGATTCTTTTCTGGAGCTGAGGACGAGGAGAAGAGGAATGAAGAACCCATTTTTACGAAGGCTGTGGGTGGATATACGCATGTCTTTGTTGACAGAGTGCATAGACGGCCCGTGAAGGAGATGAATGCAACATTGAGGGACGGACTACGAGCGATCTTATGGGAGCCTTCTGCAAAATCAAAGTTATGATTTGGAATACAGTGCATATTTTCGGATATGATGGTATGCTTGAATTTCAATAACTTTTCATTTCATTGATTGCTGTCACTTGTACTTTTTTACAGACTTTGGTGGTAGGAACGGACGAGAGCACAACCAACATGTGTGTTTCTCCCGCAAAATTCATTTTGTGTCTCTCTTTCTGGTTCCCCTTCCTCTTCTCTTAGCCTTATCTTAAAATCAGCGTCTATTCCGTTTTCTTTCCAGCTCTGATACTTTTCCGGTCTTTCTGTTGAATAGGGAGTGCAACCAAACCAGTAAACGAAGGATTCGATCATAGCGAAATACAGCAAGAATACACAAGCCAGCACTGCACTATGCCACATCCTATATATTAGAAGCACGAATAAAATAAACAAAATATTGGGATTCTGAAACAGTGCAGCAATTCTTGTATTGCATAATAAATAACTGGACGATTGGAAAGGACGACCGACTCGCATCCTCAGACGTCAGACATGCTCTCATCATTCGAAGCAGGAACCAGAGCACCTGTGAAATATCAGCCAAGCTAAAGGCAAACACAAGGAAAACGAAAGACAAACCTTCTGCGAAGTCAATCGCACTTACGTCCTTCGATCTATAGTTGGTACCTCCGTTCACGCCCAACTCAGCCGCCTCCCTCAAGTTAATTAAGAGGTGCCCTCCAAGGACGCATAGAAGGATTGTATTTCCGGATGCACCTAAGAGAAGTGAAGCGTAGTAAGGGATATTTACGGCCGCATTCTGCACTATCTTCGTGATACAACAAAACATTACACTACATTGATCAGTTAGGTGCTCGATATGTGAACGAGTGCTACTTACAAGCCGTAATATAAGACTTGGTCTTGGATAAGGATTCTGACAAGGTAGAATCCCTTCAATCTGGATGATAACCTCCAGTACTCTACACCCTTGAAGACAGCAAGGCAGAGTAGAATTGCTCCATATATTAGAGGGGCAATCCTGTTCTAAATTAGTTGGAAATAACATATTTAGAATATATGACTTACCATGAAATAATGGCGAGTGTCAGCTGCGGATCTCTTGTCCATGCACAAAAGTTTGCCTCTTGTGCAAGACTGCCAATAATAACTATATATAACGTTAGACCTTAACCTTTCATCTCATAAATCTGAGGTATCCGGAGTTCTTACTTTCTTGAAATATAGTGTTGTAGATGACTGTACCAAGACCAATGCTCGCTTCTATTGCCAAAAGAATCTTAAGCAAGATCGAAAGTTTCCTGTCTATAAAGAAATTGGTCCTGATCCTCATCAGTAAAAGTAGGTACACTTACTCTGATGATAAAGCGCCAATACACGCATATGGAGTATGTCTACGAGAAGTAGCACGTATTAATTAATTCTTCGAAAAAATGAAAGCATTTTCATACAATCTATCAGCATGACTATCATAAATACTAATGACGGGATTTCAATTAAGCGCCATAATACAGTAAGGATTTATACCACACTCACCACATATGTTACCAGTCCATAGTGTTATACGGCCTAATTATTAAGTCAATTATACATCTGCGTTAATAAGACATGCAATGTACAGCTACGGGTGATAAATGTATTAACAGGTGATCAATATATACTTTTCGTAATGCCAACTGTAACCTACCTGAGCACAGTAACTTCGAAGCTTTCCGCTAGAGTAGAATAGAATGGCATTTACTTTCCATGATATAATGGATTCTCGGATACATATACGTACAGACTATGAAACAAATCTCCCCGACAAGACCAATGTATCGATTCTAAACTGTATGATTAGAATAAGCAAACATATTATATATAGTTTCAACTTCACCGCAAGATAAATCAAGCTGATGTGGCCGAATGGCTTTCGCTTCGTTTTCTCCCTCAGGGGTGAACATATCAAGGTCAACATTGGGCTTACCCAGACGTATTTTATCTGAAGATATGTAGATTAGTCAAGAGTGATCAGACAGAGGAAAGTTGTCATACTTCTCTGTCCATGGTTATGACTTGGGTTGCCATACATGTCAGTAGAAATTTTGTTCAGTGAATCGAAGTTCGTACTGGAGGAATAGACTAATACAGTCAGCATTGCCAAATCGAAGTACCTTTGGGTGATAATTTCAGAGACAATTGTTGGCACTAAACTTGGGTCAACAACAAGAGCATCTGAACGAGTGTGGAAAGGGTGAAGAGGTCCAAAGTCCAAAGTCTGGTCTGCCATCGAAAGTGACTCCAAATGACAACACATGTTCTGATTCTTATAAGGAATAGACTTGAATAGTGGTCTGAACTGCAATTTTACCTCTTCTAAGATGCATCACTAAACATCACGGTTGAAACGTTCTGTAGCAGTGTCCGACATCTGAGCTGTAATGTGCAACCGTGTTTTATGTGATCGATAACTTAAGAAAAAAAGATGAATTTATGCGCTGGATGCATTGAATTCAAAGACTACAACAGTAGATACTGTATCACCCTTGCCAAGAAAAAGGTGCATTTACTGATCAGTTGCTTGATTAGTTGTCTCTGTTGAGCCCATCCCGTTGAGATGTCTACAAAGCTGGCGCCTTTAGTGCTGAGATTGTGTGTCAAGTGAGAAATTTACTTTGTACCGGTTAGTCCCTCTGAGACAGCAATCCTCGGATCTTCAACGTCTAAGCGCTTCATGAAGACCCGTGACAGTCAGTCCGTGAGCTCAGCGTCTTAAGGAAGGCAATGGAGCCGTGCTTATTGTGCATCAGAAGTTTTGGACTTCGGGTATCAGATTTGGAGGTTGGTATTATGGCAACATTAATACGATCTCGTAACCTACTGTTGCATTTGAGATGCGCCCGCGTGTTGATCATGCGATTCCGTATGTCCGTCAATTCCAATTAGCCATCACCTTCGACATTTGCTCTGCTCAAGCTGCTTCATGCAAATGTAAATTTATGTTCAAAGCCTGCCTACCGAGCAAGGCCAGTGTGATACGCATCGAGTAAGGTGCCTCGCACTTCCCCGAGATGGGTTCTGCCCTCCCATATTATTCATTCGAATGGAAAACAAACCGAGTTTCTCTAATCGACGAATGAGGTTTACGATCGCCCTTCACCTCAGACCACTCGATAGTCATCTGATTCTCGTGGTAATCACCATGCACCGGAACTCGCCTATCTAACCTCAATCGAAATGACCCAGACCGCTCCTTCGTGATCGCTTCGAATGTACCATGTGCGGGTGGTTGAGGTGACCGAGGTGGTGTAGTAGGAATTATGTTTACTAAATATGAGCACGGAGATTAATATACCGCGGATAGATTTATATTCATAAAACTTAGAAGACAGTGAAATAAAGTTCCTCTATTTTCACTTTTTCTTTCCTTTTCTGACTTACTTTTACTTTTTTGTTCAGTCGGTTCATCGATCACGGTACCTATCCACGTGAAGTACTTCTCAACGAAAGTAACGACTCGTTCTTGACGAGTGGGTGATTCTGGGCGCGATGTGAAGAGACGGCGGGAAGGCGTTGGAGGACGGACAATAGGTAGTCTGAGATCGCCTAGATGTGAATCGAAAAGGACAACAGGTATAGGTTTGTCCCCGAGTGGGGATAGGAAGGATGCCGTGGACAACGCTGTTGTTATGAGTTGCAAATATCGAGAAAGATCGGCCCTGCCAAAGGGAAAAGTATAAGGATAAGCGCGCGGTGTCCTAATCAAGTTATACTTGCGGAAAAGCGGCATCCGCTGGAGTAAAGTAGGCAGAAGGTTCATGAAGTACGATTAGAGACGGCGTATGCGGCAGTACAGCTTTATTGGGTGGCGGGGGAGAACCAGGTCCAGGTCCAGTACTACTAGATGAAAGTGGTTTGAACAATGAAAGAAGCAGGAGCCAATGTGCGGTAGTAGGAGGGTAACTATTTATATTCAAATGATCATCAGCTGAACAGGACAAAGGGATCAGATCGCAGATATCCTGTATCGTACTAGATATCAATTCTGGATAAGAGTGTCAAATATAGTCCCTTTGCTGCATTAGTTGTGAGCCATTCGTCGTTAAAGTCTTGTAGGGGCGTTGCTAGGACCTGGCGGTTGGGAGTCAAGAACAAGGCTTTGCCAGCATTGGCCTGGAGGTGGGATATGCAAAGGTGAATAGGCGCAGAAGGCGGATAGGGTCCCTTGACTAGTAGACTGTCAAACAAAGGCAGTGACGACCCAGGAGCGGGGAAGAGACTTGACGACATATCAAAGAGAGGCAGTACGCGCAGAACGGTGAGTCGCGTGTCACATTTAATCAAATGTAATACAATGCGTGTGACAAATTACACAGCGTGACGCACTAGTATAAGAAAAAGTTGCCTCGTGTAGGCAACCCTGTCCACATCCAGTGCGAGCGTCTATATCCTTCCTGATGGAATCATCGATTAAGGCTACTTATAATGTCGTCCTCAAGTGTAAACCTACACAGCGTCCTCTGGCCGTCTCCCCTCAGTCAAGTCATCCCCACTAGTATCCTCTGTCCTCGTCCCAACCCCTCTCGCCTGCCGCAGGGCTGTCCGGTACATCTCAGGAGACAATTTTATCATAATGTCATTCGCATCAACAGCCAGAGTGGTTGCAGCAGGAACTGCCGCCGCTGCATCACTCACAGCAGACTTTGCGCCAGTACCTTTCCTCGCCCCAGCTGTGGGCATCGTCGTCGGCATACTCCAGCTGTGTGATAATGTGCGAACAAACAAGTACGTATGCAGTGCCTCGTATCCTGGTATATGCACTCCTGTGAACTGATCAAATGATGATGCTGGTCGTAATCATAATCGTAATACTCCGTTCAGAGTTGAAGTCCGCGAACTAGGCGGACGGTGTACTGCGCTGCTCTATGCGCTTAAGGATAGTAGCACCGGTTGCGCGCCAGAGATCATACAAAACCGAGTCGAGTCGAGTCAGGAGTTCGTATTTTGGGCGCCTTTGGACATTTTTCTCAAAATTGACTGATTTATCGACTCATAGGCTGTTAAATGGCATTCAGACAAAGATGAAGATCTGGGTACAAAAGTCCACGGTCTCACAGTTCTTCCTTCAGAACGACATCGCAGAGGACGTCAGGCGCTGCAACCAAGCGATTGATACCTTTCTCGAATCCTTCAACATTACTTCCGCGATGGAGACACATCGATGGATGACCGACTTTGAGAAGCAGAGGCAGGAAGACCATGCCGAAATGATTGCTTATTTCTCAGACGTTCAGAATAATCAACAAATTTCCCGGGAAACTCAGGTTACGATGGCCTCTGACACTGCTAAGATATTGGCTATGATGGAACGCATGCAAGATGTATGTATTTGCATACGTCATCGTACTTAACGTTAACTTATTTGTTCTATCAGTTCATGGGTAGCTACCCGGTTGGCGATTACCGTCATAGGGGACTTCAACAGAACCTCCTCACTATGCAGAGGACTTCTGGTCAACTTCTGCCCAAGGTTGAACTGAGACATGGTGAGGTCCGCCGTGTCAGCAGCAATCCAGTCGGTGGGAGCGCAGCGTTCGATATCTGGCAGGGAGAATACCTTGGACAGGAGAAGTGCGCTATTAAAGTCGTCCGAGGTATCGAAGTCACGCCTAAAATCCGAGACGTAAAGCACCATTTCACACCAGTCTGATTCGGTTTCAATTTCTGACGTCTGTGTTCCAGCGCTTCTTGCGAGAAGTTGGAATCTGGAGAAAGGTATGGGAGATGGACAAGGGAGAGTATATGCTGCCATTCTGGGGTGCTTGCCTTACCGATGGGCCTTATCCGTTCGTGCTCTTGCAGAAACAATAATCAGGATGAACTGACATGTCGTAACAGGTACATGGTTAGCCCTTGGATGCCGTATGGCGATGCGATCACGTACGTCAACAAATATCCATACGTTAACCGGAAAAAAATCATCCGGCGAATTGCGGAAGGCTTGAGGCTGTTGCACACATATACGCCTCCAATTGCACATGGTGATATCAAGGGTGCCAACATCCTCATCGACGAGAAGGGTAACCCACTCCTCGCTGATTTCGGTCTTTCAAAGGTTCGTTTCTGTTCTTGTCTAAATGCTTTCTGTCTGAGTTGTCCTTGCTTAGATGATGGAAGACCTAACTGGCATGCCGTTCACGCAGAGTCGGGGTGTGTCTGAATCGTATAGATGGTTCGCACCCGAGCTGTGCTCTGCTCCGGGTGTATTGAGCCCCGCATCGGACGTCTTTGCATATTCCATGACAGTACTCGAAGTTCGTTTTCTCTTCCTGGTCTCAATCATTTCTCCCATTTCACTCATGCAACCCTCATTATATGTAGTTAATGACTGGCCAGCCACCCTTCTCGCATATCAAGCGTACACCAGAGGTGCTCATCAAGATGCAACAAGGTGAACGTCCACGTAGGCCCGAGAGTCCAGAAATTATCGAGCGTGGGTTGGATGATAACCTTTGGGACTTGTTGACGCGTTGCTGGGTTGAGGATCCGGCTGCTCGACCTTCGATACATGAGGTTATTGCAGAGTTGCCGACTGATTAGAGCTGAGTAGACAATTTGACGAGACCTGTTAGGTTGAGGTGCTTGTGTGTATTGTATTATCCTGTTTTCTTTTTGCAGTCCCAGTTCTCCCTTTTATATCTTGCTAGCTTCACTGCTTTCTTGTGCTTTGTTGTCCGCTGTGAACACCTGTTCCTGTTCTTGCGTAATATTTCATGTGCATTACATAACCCGGTCTTGTTTGCATACATACCTCGCTTTCTCCTCATTCTCTTAGTATATGTGCCAACTACTATTTTGGACGGACAGTGTGGGCTATTAGTAACGTGTGATACGTGTATGGTGTGTGGTTTTTAAAACGTGTAGGACACTAAGTTTATCATTGCTGTGTCTGTGGAACTTTTTGTTCCATTCTGAAATTGTTAGACTCTGATCGGCAGACAGTCAGCACCTGTTGCTCCCTCCCTACATTGCGACAGTTTCGCTCACACCGAGTCGACCATGTCCCCTGCAAAGACGAATGGCATCCCAAACATGTGTTTCACGATACTCTCGCAATGCTTGATCATCTCAACTTAACTGGCAGTGTAGAATTTGATAATACTGTCATGAAGGCCAATAGCCTGAGAGTATACTGTACCGTCTTCACTAGGACTGTGCTCGTTTTATCTAACCACTCTCATCACAAAAATGTCTAAAATACTGTAGTACATTATAATGGTATAAAATAAGTAAAACATGTGAAAAGTGTGAAAGTAGTTAGAGTTGATCTCACTTTCTGAAAAATTAGTACAAGGCATTATAATGCTAGAAAGGTTTATCAATGTTCAAAAGGTTTGTTAGTGTTATAAATCCAAGAAAGTTTGTTGTTCATTATAATAAGTAAAAGGAATTGTATGCATTGCAAACCTTAAAAGGGTTTTTTTTGTTATAAAGGTATGCAAAGATTGTGATCCTTTACAATAAGTAAAATTACTTATAATTGATCTCAAAAATAACAAGGATGCATCATACTTATTAGATACAGCAAATATTGTAAACATTTGCAAAGCTCACAATTCATTATAATTTTTCATATTAATATAATAAATTTTAATTATATTTAAATACTTAATACAAGTATATTATCTATATTTATTAGGGAGAGCAATACATACCAGCATTGACGGATGAGAATGAATGCATTCTCTGGCTGCTTGATGCAGTCCTCGCTACCATGCTCTGGTTACTGCTCAGTCACTGTGAGTTAAATTGTGTGTGTGTGTGTCCAGGTTGAGAGGTTGTGCAGGTTGTGGAAATTGAGGTTGTGCTCGTGAGACAGGTTGGGAGATTGACTCGCCAAGGGGGACGGAGTTGTTAGTAAGTGGGACTACTTGAGGTGAAGAGATAGATTCATTGCAAAGGCGCGTTCCAAGGGTACGTAGTGCACCCGGTTGAAATCCAGAAAGTTGAACGAGCTGATTTGAGCTGCAAGCGGATCCGCGTCTGTGCGTGCGCGCTGCATGCTCTTGCTACAGCGTATAACGGGAGGTGCGGTGAACTGAGTCATGGATTGCAGAGGTATGTCTCTCGGACGTTCTGGCGCGAAGGGAGAAAGCAATGTGGAAGTCATGGACAGACTCGGCTCGGGCAGCATGAGTGGTGGGCCACTGCTTCCGTTTAATGTTGTGTCAAGCCCAGCACAGGGGGATGTGAATGCACACAGTGTGGGCCTATCTAGAGTGATGTCAAGCATTAAACGGGTGGAAAAGGAGAGTGTGTACCAGGTGAGAGAGTGTGTGGCACGACGGGAGTAGCCGTACAGGGACATTGTCGCAAGCGTGTGCTCGTCGTTGTTGCTTTTGCTGCAGAGCGGGAAGAAGTACGCAAATGCATGGAATTGTTGATGAAGTCGTTCGACATTGGTCAACAATACGGATGCGCGAATGCGAATGCAAAAGTGAAGGCGAACGTTAAAAAAGGAGGACAGCGAAGGAGAGGCAACGCAAGTGGCAGAGCGAGGAGGGGAAGGGATAGAACTATTAGAAGAGAGACAAAAAGTTGGGAAGAGAGGGATGAGCATCTATTATGTAGGTTATTATGAAGTGGACTGGCCGCTTACGCTTTACGTTGAGGGGTGGTATAGTCAGCTGGGTCGTGTCATCACAGGATCTGAGGCTCAGCGCAGGCATCGCAACAGGAGATTGGAGAGACGAGTGCAGCGATGTTTATTGTCTAGGTTGTTGCAGGCAGAGTGCCTGCTGGTAAGACTGGACTGGAGAGAACAAAAGCAACGACACAGTAGGTGACTTCAATTAATTGGCAGGAGCACTTGCAGGACAGTTGGAAAATTTTGGGGTGGCTCGGCAAAGTGGACGTACCTTAATATATACCAAATAGAGATGTAAATCCGTGCAACTCTCTGCAAGTGTCTGCAAGTGCTCGAACCCACTTGTTGGCACTTGCAAACGCGTCAGAGTTTGAAATAAAGAAATGTCTGACTACAACCCAACAAAAATCATGAGTAACGTGACATGGGCATTAAATGTCGATCTCTGCAAGTCCAGCTCTTCAATTTTGAGAGACTTGCATAACTCTTGGCATCTTAACTCTAAATTGCCGAAGCCCTTCTGCAAGTGTATCTGCCAATTAATTGAAGTCGCCTAGTGGTGGGGGCAGAGGGTTAGGGAGATGGTGGAAGTTGAAGTTGGAGAGAAAAGAGTGACGAGAAAATGTAGGTGCATCATTATAAGCTTTCGATCTTGATAGGTGATTACATAATCCATGTCAATATTCGCTACAACAAATAAAACAATTCAGATGTTGTATTTAGGTATAATATAAAAGTATTAGTATATTTTACAGTACAGTAATAAGCAATCTGGCATACATATAAATTATTAAACACACTGATGTAATTATTACAAGTAGATAAAATGCCTTTTACAATAATTGTAAACTGTTTGTATAGATAATCTAAGTATAATATATATATATTACATACTTATATTATAATTTTATTGAGATAATAACAATACATCAAGTGTTCCTATACTATTATATACTTTAATAAAACTTTTTTATCAATTACAAGTCAACAGTCATAATTATTACTTATTATATTGTAAATATAACACTTTCTTTAATATTATAATACAAATGCAATACAAACATAATACTTTTGCTTGTCATACAAAGTTAGTATAATACATTTAATAGATTGTATACATTCATAGTACTTATATAGTCTTTATATGTATTAACATGTCTTATTTAAACATTACAATTTAATTGTAAGTCTTACAATTATATAAAATGTATATATAATGTTTATAGTACTCTACAAACTCTACAATTCATTATATAAAAAACACAACTTTTTCACAATGACACTAAAAGAGAGTACAGTTATTTCAGCCAAAAGCTTGTTACTTAAGGACCAGGTCAATTTGAAATCTCCTGTTCTTTATAAGCAGCTTTCCAGTAGTAGGTTTATTATAGAGAACAGTGTTACTGAAGTAAAGGATGAGAGGAAGGGGAAAGTACAAGAAAGTTGTGCAGAATTGTCAGTTAATATGGACAATAATACTGTATGAAAAATGTCTTCATTAGATTGATTCATTTCTTAATATAACAATATACTTATAGAACTAGTAAATACTCATATTCCTGTAAGTGTATCTGAACAGTTTGTACACATTTCACATTTAAATAACTATTATTTCAGTTTTGCAGCACAAAATCACTCATTTCATGTGGGTGGTCAAATGTGTGAATTACTTAAAATTTCTATTTGGGTATATTACTAAGTTTACATACCGTGGTTATCCACTGTGAATAACCACAACCACACAACCCCGGATTTCGCCGTGTGGTTAACCACTTTACCACAGAGGCCTGAGAGGTTTCCATCCCCACTCTATTCAGCACCGTTCTCTTCCTCTTCTGCTTATTGTTAGTAAGACCTTCAGACCACGAACCTAAGAATGCAGTGGTTTTCTCAAGGAGAAATTGCGCAGAAGGCAGAACATACGTTAAGATTGGTCATGGGAGCGTACTTTTCATCGTGCATGTATAAATCTGCACAGTACCGAAGTCAGTGAATTTGCGTGCTACGCGCAACACTTCGTGAGTGATCTCAACGCAGAACGTTCACGTCACTCATAACATACCCTACACTAGTTCCTTCCTCGTCCCGATTGTGGGCATCGTCATCGGCATACTCCGGCTATATGACAATGTGTGTACAAACTGGTACATGTGTAGTGCCTCGTATCCCGGTATATGCACTCCTGTGAACTGATCAAATGATGACGCCGATCGTAATCATAACCGTAATACTCGGTCCAGTGTTAAAATCTGCGAGCTAGGTGGACGATGTACTGCGCTGCTTTATGCGCTTAAGCACAGCAGTGGTGTTTGCGTACCAGAGGCCACACAAAAGCGAGCCGAGTCCGCCTTTGGGCCCATTCTCCCAAAATTGACTGATTCATCGGCTCATGTAAGCTGTTAAGTGGCACTCATATAAAAATGAAATGTTGCGTACAAGAGCTCTCCGCTATTTAGTTCTTCCTTCAGAACGACATCGCAAAGGACGTCAGGCGTGCCACCAAGCAATCGACACCTTCCTCGAATCCTTCAATACTACTTCTGTGATGGAGACACATCGGTGGATGACTGATCTCGAGGAGCAGAGTCAGAATGACCATACCGAGTTAATTACCTATCTTTCCGATATACAGAACAAACAACAGATATCCCAGACGACTCAGGCAGCTTTGGCATCTGATATGTCTCAAATTCTTGCCACCATGGAGCGCATGCAGGAGGCGAGTCCTTCCTCGCCACTACTATCTTCCACTTTTTGTTAATCAGTTCTATCAGTTTATGGGCAGTTACCATGTCGGCGATTACCGGCACAGAGGGCTTCAGACAAACCTCCTCACCATACAGAGGACCTCTGGTCAACTCCTGCCCAACGTTGAACTGAAACATGGCGAGGTTTGTCGTGTCGGTAGCAATCCAGTCAGCGGAAGCGCAGCGTTCGATGTTTGGGTAGGCGAATACCTCGGACAAGAGAAATGCGCTATCAAAGTTGTCCGAGGTATCGAGGTCAAGCCTGAGATCCGAGAGGCAAGATACCATCTTATATCAGTCTTACTTGGTTTCAATTTCTGACGTCTGTGTTCCAGCGCTTCTTGCGAGAAGTGACTATCTGGAGAAAGGTATGGGAGATGGACAAAGGAGAGTATATGCTGCCGTTCTGGGGTGCTTGCCTTACCGATGGACCTTATCCGTTCGTTCTCACTCTTTCAGAAACAATAATCAGGATGAACTGACATGTTGTAACAGGTACATAGTTAGCCCTTGGATGCCTTATGGCGATGCGATCACGTATGTCAACAAATATCCATACGTTAATCGAAAGCGCATCATCCGGCGAATTGCGGAAGGCCTGAGGCTGTTGCACACATATAACCCTCCTATTGCGCATGGTGATATCAAGGGTGCCAATATCCTCATTGATGAGAAAGGCAACCCTCTCCTCGCTGATTTCGGTCTTTCAAAGGTTTGTTTCTGCCTTTGTCTAGATAATGTTTAGACCGATACATTGACCTTGCTTAGATGATGGAAGACTTAACGGATATGCCATTCACGCAGCTCCGGGGTATGTCAGAGTCATATAGATGGTTTGCACCTGAGCTATGCTCTGAGGGTGTATTGAATCCTGCGTCGGACGTCTTCGCATACTCGATGACAGTGCTTGAGGTTCGTTTCTTCTCTCTCACCTCTGTCCTCCCTTCCATTTCACTCGCTCAACTCTCGTTATATGCAGTTAATGACCGGCCAACCGCCGTTCTCGCATATCAAACGCATATCAGAAGTGATCATCAAGATGCAACAAGGTGAACGCCCGCGTAAGCCCGAGAGTTCAGAAATTATCGAGCATGGGTTGGATGATAACCTTTGGAACTTGTTAACGTGGTGCTGGGTTGAAGACCTGGCTGCGCGTCCTTCGATACATGAGGTTATTGCGGAGTTGCCGAGTGATTAGAACCGAGTAGACGATTTAGGCCAGTTTGTCATATGAACTTATGAAGGTGCTTAGATGATATGTTACCCTGTTTTCCTTCGCATCCCTTAGTAGTGTATACTCGCTGTGCCTTCTTCGTCTAATCACCGCCTCGCCGCTCTCTTTCTTATTCCATCTCGCTAGCTTCACTACCTTCTTGTGTTGCATTGTCCATTGTGAATGCCTGTTTTTATACAATGATTTCTTTTTCTGTGCACTGCATTGTTCACCCTATTTATGTACATAATTCACTGAATTTTTCTTGTACCCATAGTTTATGTCATAAAAATGGTACTTTTGAACTGAGTCTATAGTTCAAATGTGTGTGGGGCTGTGAGATTCTAAAAATATCATGATTATCAGGTTCATCAGATTAACTATCGATGTATCATCACATGCTATGCCTGTGCACAACCCCAGCATGTGGTGACCATCGTGCTCACACCTCGTCAACCATGGCCTCTGCCAATGTCGATACTTCACTGTCGAATGCAAGAGGAAGTGAGTACTCAATGCATGTGCTTCACACCACTCTTGCAAAACTTGTCCATCTTGATTTGACGGGCTGTGTGGAGTATGATAATACTGCCATGGCAGCCTCTGGTGGATATTGTGATGTATTTATGGGGAAAGCAGCTATTCCACCCCAAGACTCTGGATTGCCAGGTGAAATGGACGTTGCCATAAAGCGCCTTCGCATACATATCCAGAAAGAGCAAGATTTTGAGAAGGTATGCTTTGTCCTATCCATCTTATGTCTTATAGGCTGTTGCAGCTGAGACTTATCATCCAAGCTCCTTGCCAAAGAATTATACATTTGGTCACGACTGAGTCACGAGAATGTTCTACCTCTTCAAGGCTTTGCATTGGATAAAGGGTTTCCTATCGTGATCTCAGAATGGATGGCGAATGGAACGCTCCGGGAATATTTAAAGAAGCATCCTGGTTGTAGTGTCGAGGATATGGTCAGTTCTCCCAGACTTGTAACTCTTCATTTCATAGTTAACAATACAAATTATGTTAGATATTGGGAATCACTAATGGTGTCGATTATTTGCATAAGCAGAATGTGGTCCATTCTGACCTTAAAGCAGTATGCAAGCACTTCTTTTTCTCAGTGAAAATTATCTCAGAGTCCTCTAGGACAATGTATTAATCAATAGGGACGGGCACCCTGTAATATGCGATTTTGGTATCTCTCGGATGGTGTCAGCCACAGCAGCATTTGCTGCAACAACTTCGGGAGGGTTTAAGGGATCAGTGCGATGGATGGCACGTGAGCTCATTCTTAACGGACATCACACACGAGAGTCGGATGTGTGGGCTTTTGGTATGACTGCATACGTAGGTTGTCACACTGAGTGTCTGTGTGCTTGACCAAACATTCATGATTTTGCTTCTAGGAAATCCTTACTCGAAAGCTACCATATGCACACTTGAATATTGATGTACAGGTGATGAATGCTATTATAGGTGGTGATCTACCTGCACGTCCGTCCGACTACGAAACTTGGTCTCCATTCATAAAGTCTGTATGGGACACATGTGAAAAGTGTTGGATATCACCTCCAGAGATACGGATCACAATGGAACAAGTGGCACAGGACTTCCACACAAACAGAAGGGTGGGTAACACAACTAACACTGGACAGAGTAAAGGTGTGCTACAACAACATAGCTTAATTAAAAGCAATATCTGATTGTCCAATGGTTTAGACATTCTGGCTTATAATGATCATTCCAGTATAATCTGTTTCCTAAACTTACTGTTAACAATACTGGCTCTAACTGAAATTACTGAATTCTAGTTAGTACAACACACACTGTAATTACACATATTCGACCAGCCAACACTAAGGCAGACCAAAATCTTGATAAAGACTATCAAGAAGATGGTGGTTCTATTCAAGTTGCAGATCATAGTCAGCAGACAGCTACTCAACCAGGTACTAGAATGATTACAAGTGGAGCTGTAGCAGCAGAAACTCTCACTGCAGACTTTGCATCAGCACCTGTCTTCTCCACAGCTGTAGACATTGTTATTAACATGTTACAGCTTTGTGACAAGGTACATACAAACAAGTGAGTACATTATAGCTTTCATTTCAGAAGATCAGTCTGGGTAACTGATCTAATAACTTTGGTGATTGTTATAACATGTTCCAGGCATGAAATACGTGATCTGGTCTGTCGTTGTGTTGAACTGCTTTATGCACTCAAAGATAGTAGTATCAGTTGCATACCAGAGATTATTAAAGGCAGAGTTGACTTGGGAAAAGAGTGTGTTTTCATTATATATATATTTGTGGGATTTTTTCTCTCATAATTAATTAAATCCAGCCTACTAGGAAGGATACAACATCAAGTACAAAGCTGGATAGAACGATCATTCTTCAGCCAGCTCTTCCAACGAAGCAATGTTGCTGAAAACATAAGACATTGTCACCAGGATATTGATTCCTTCCTAAAGAGTTTCAACGTCACAACCACTATGGAAAAGCATTGGTGGATAACCGAGTTTGAGTTTGCAGAAACAATCGACTATCTTTCAGATAGCAGGAATAACCATCAGATTCAACTGGAGACAGTCAGCACAGACCGTGTACAAATTCTTGCTATGATGGCACACATGCAAGATGTATGTCATTCCATACTTTCCATTTTCTATTATATGCTCATCAGTTTATCAGTTTATGGGCAGCTGCCCTGTTGACGACGACCGACATAGAGGACTTCAGACAAACCTCCTCACTATACAGAAGACCTCTGGTCAACTACTGCCGAACATTGAATTAAACCATGGTGAAGTCCGTCGTGTCAGCTACAATCCAGTCGGAGGAAGCACAATGTTCGATATCTGGGAAGGCGAGTATCTCGGACAAGAGAGGTGTGCTATAAAGGTTGTCCGAGGTATCCAGAATGACGCACCTAAGGTACGAGAGGTGAAGAATGTTTCGTCTCTGCCTTGATTAAATTTCTGACGTCAGTGCGTCCCAGCGTTTCTTGCAAGAAGTGACTATCTGGAGAAAGGTATGGGAGATAGACAAGGGAGAGTATATACTGCCGTTCTGGGGTGCTTGCCTTACCGATGGACCTTATCCGTTCGTTCTCACTCTTTCAGAAACAATAATCAGGATGAACTGACATGTTGTAACAGGTACATAGTTAGCCCTTGGATGCCGTACGGCGATGCGATCACGTACGTCAACAAATATCCATACGTCAACCGAAAACGCATCATCCGGAGAATTGCGGAAGGCTTGAAGATATTGCATACATATGCACCTCCTATTACACACGGTGATATCAAAGGCTCGAACTTCCTTATTGATGAGAAAGGCAACCCCCTCCTCTCTGATTTCGGTTTACGAAAGGTTTGTTTTTGCCGTCGTATAAAATACCTTCTTCGAAGTTGACTGTTGCCAAGATGATTGAAGACCTGACGGGCATGCCATTCACCCAGAGTCAGGGCATGTCAGAATCATATAGATGGTTTGCACCTGAACTCTGCTACGCGCCAGGTGTCCTGAGTTTGGAATCAGACATTTATGCATATTCGATGACCGTCCTTGAGGCTCGTTCCCTTTTCCTTGTCTCCAATATACCTTCCATTTTACTTATTTAGCACATGTCATATGCAGTTAATGACAGGCAAGGAGCCTTTCTTGCATATCAGACGCACACCAGAGGTGCTCATCAAGATGCAACAAGGTGAACGCCCGCGTAAGCCTGAGGGCCCAGAGATCATCCAACGAGGCCTGGACGATAAGCTTTGGGACTTGTTGACGCGGTGCTGGGTTGAGGACCCGGCTGCACGTCCTTCGATACATGAGGTTATTGCAGAGTTACAGGATGACTAGAACTGAATAGGCTATTTGCAGCGACTCGGACCTTCTAGATGGATATGATACCTGGATACCGTCGTGTTAACCTGCATTGTTTGTGCTGCACACCACTTAGCTGTGTATATTCGACTTCCCTGTCCCAGCTCAACCCCTTCTTGTCCTGATTCCTCCTGTCTTGCTAGCTTCTCTGTCTTCTTGTGTTGTTCCGTCTGCTACAAGTGCCTGTATCTACTGTAAGCTTGTAGTATTTTCTTGTGTATTGCTTGTCTTGTTTACAGAGTATCATGTCTCTGAATTTCTCGTTCTTTTAGTGAATATAAAAAATAGCACTGCTGGATAGGTATTGGAGCTCTGATGTAAGATACCTGTCTTCTTCACCATCAACCTTCCTATATACTGTATATATATATTGGTTATAATTATTTCCTCTTCCTTGCACTTTTATCTTTGCATACAGAATTTTATGTATTCAGCTCATTTCGTATTGTATTTATTGCACAGCGTATGTTACGTTTGGATGGATTTTAAGTAGTGTGGTGGTTGCGATTAGTATGTAATAATGCGTTTATTTACTTGTATTTGCTGAACTCCTTCACGTGATGGGTATTCGTATTAAAATTTAAAAGATAAAAGCTTACCCGACGATGCGCATCGCCGCCAACACTTCTTTTCTTCCGCCTATTGCTGATGAAGCCTCCGGACCGCAAATCTTAAAATGCATTAGTTTCTCAGACGGCGTCGTGCAGAAGTCAGGACATGTGTTCAAGGACTGATCATGGGATCTTACTTGTCCAAGTATAATTTACACAGACACTCAGATCAGTCAAGTTGTACGCTACGCTGACTACTCTGAGTGATCTCAACATGATGTACTTGGGCTCGTTCCGTTCTTGCCTGGTAATACCATTCGTGGTGCTGTCTGTCGTTTCCGCACCACCTCAGCCCTCTTCGCCTCTTGGTCCAGTAGTCCACCTTAGCTATGCGGCCTTCGTCGGAAACTCCACATCACCAACTGGAGAGGCGAATGGGCCGGTGACTTTCTTTGGAGGAATACGTTATGCTAAACCTCCCCTCGGTGATCTGCGCTTCAGAGCTCCCGCTCAATTGGATGAAACTGTTGTAAATCCCGGAAATATCACAATTACAGATGCTCGTAACTGGGGTCCACCGTGTATTCAGCAGCCAGCACAGGTAGGAATTGGAGATGAAGGCACGTTGCGATTTGACTGTGCCCACTTAATAAATGAATTTACTCACAGTTTCGGCTTCTAGATTGTCTAAGGATAAATATCTGGAAACCAAGTGACGCCAAAGAGGGAGACAAACTCCCTGTCTTGTTCTATATCCACGTATTTCTTTTCTTTTCTCTGGACCTCCTTTTTCATTACCTCTAAAACATGATGAAAGGGCGGCGGATTCTTTGATAGGGTATATGCACACTCCTTTTCCTCAGTGATAGTATCTTGACTTTGTCCCACAGAATCCCGAAAGCTTCCCATTGTATGATCTAGTCAATCAATCGAATCCAAAAATCGTTGGTGTCAACTTCGGGTATCGTCTCAATATGTTAGGTTTTCTCGCCGGGAGTGCAGTTGTAGAAGATGGCGATCAGAATGCAGGTCTACTCGATCAACAAGCTGCTCTTGAATGGGTAACCAGGCATATTGCGAACTTCGGTGGTGACCCCAACCAGATAACAATTGACGGTGAGAGTGCAGGAGGCGCAAGCGTTGTGATGCATATGGTCGCTTTCGGAGGTTCTTTCGTTTCAGCATTTTATCCGAGTGTCTTCATTAACTTTTTTTAGCGTCCAAGCCGGCCCTATTCAACCGCGCTATTGCGCAATCCATAGGTTACGGATCTATTCCTACGGCAGATGAATCTGAAGCTAATTTTAGTAAAGTCCATTTAATTATATCCTTTACACACCTTAATATATACTTTCTCCAGAGAAGGTAACGGAGACTGTCGGATGTCCTGATTCTGGTTCACAAGCCATGTCATGTCTTCGAACTGCTTCAGTCGGTTGGTAATCTTACTTGTATGGCATCCTCCAAATCAAAAAATACTGAGTTTGTTTCACCTTGAGGCGCCATTGTTGCTGCAATCAACGAAGCCGGTGGCTTCTCTCCCGTCGTAGACGGGCCCAATGGTATCCTACCAGATTTGCCAAATACGCTTCTCACACAAGGCAAATTTCATACGGTCGACTTCATTGGCGGTGATTGCACGAACGATGGAACTATGTTTGTGGGAGGGACCCCAGATGACTTCAAGACAGATGAAGATATCATCGAGCGTGTGTTTGGGAAATTCACAGCCATGGTTAGTCAATCGTATTATTCTAATTGAATGCAATTACGGATTGCTGATCTTGAACGCTTTGCAGACGAACGAAACGATCCAAAAGGCGCTGTCTCTTTATCCGGAACCAGGCGCACCTGGTAGTCCATTCACATCGCAATTCGATCGTGCATCAACTATAGAGCAAGATACGATTTTCAGTTGCATGTCGGTTTGATTACCATATTTTTATTTAGCACCATACTAATAAGATCTTTGGACACTTTTTCAGGGACTGGTCTATTGCAAACGCGCTCCAGCAGAGAAAAGTAAATAATGTATTCACGTTCAGGTATGGAGTTTTTTGAACTCCGATATATTCTCAATTTTGTTCGTAGCATTGACAAGAGTCTCGTAAGGTTTAACTCACCAAATCCTGTTCTACTTGCACAAACGCCCTTCGAAGGAGTCATGCACACGTCTGACCTTTTCTATTTGTTCAGTGGTAAGTGAATTCACCTCAGACTGATTGCAAGATCCCAGTCTGACTATTGCATGGATAGGAATTACGTGAGCCTCTAGTGAACAATGTACTTGAAATCTCACTGCAGCTACTATTAGTTCCCAGCCCAACGCAGGTTTTAGCTTTACCCCGTTCAACACTGTGCGCAGCTCTATTGCTATTCTCCATCTTGCCTATTAACGCATGAAGGGCTTCCAGGCTGAGGCAGTGCTTTCGAGAGATGCAATTGGATTCTGGTCGTCTTTCGCATCATCCGGAAATCCATCGACTTCTCGTGTAGCAACGTCGCCTGCATGGAAGCCGTTCTCTTCAGGAGAGCGTATGGTTCTGAACCAACCATCAAATGCAAGCGTGATGGGAAGCACGTCTGTGTTGGAGACAACTCCGCCAGAGCAGATTGAACGGTGCAAGTTCTGGATGGCACTCAATACTACTGAACAGACGAGGTTCTGACGCTTTGTGGCTGTGATAAGACGAAAGAATTGAAGAAAATAGTCTGGAGGGCGTTTTTTTTGTAGTCGTTGTATTTTTGTTTGTTTTTGTCCGTGCAATCTCAGAGCTCGAACCTGTGAAATATCGCTTGATTGGCAGTTACTCATAGTCAGTTTGACAGCTGTATAGCCAAAGATATGTCTCAAATAACCAAACATCTCATCTTGGTGAATCGACCGCTGTGGAATACAATATTCCGAAGAAACCCCTGCTTTTACAGAGACAATATCAAGAAACGCTGTTGCTGATCTCAGGTTTATTTTACCGGAAAAACCGATATACAGGTTACTTGTATAATGTGTACGATACTTATCCCTGTTAATACAGATGTCGAACATGTCTCTATTCACGATTAAATACCAAGCACTCACCAGTTGATCCCATGGTGGCAGAACAATCGTCTCTCCCTCTTCAAATACTTTCACGAGATCATCTCGTACTAAACTTTTCGGAACAACAACCTGATACACAAACTCATCAAACCACGCATCCGTTAGGACGTGGAATCCGTTTTTTAATTTCTCGGTTTGCCATGAAGTCTCCGCTTTATACCTTGTTGCTTTCCCTGTTATAGGGTCGATATGGGCACCGGTGATTATCATGGCATGCGACGGTCGCGAATGGTTCATCTGCAACCATTCGGCCTTTGTTAGATTCAAAGAGACGTTGAAGGCTTTGGCAAAACCCGATCTAAAGTAGTCGATATCGAGGATGCCTGATTTCTGGTCGGAGTATTGGTGTATGTCACACCCGACGTAGACTGGCTGTCCGGATTTCAATGTATTTACGACTGCAGTTTTGAGGTCGTCAATATTAGTATTGATATCTATAACTCTCGGGGTTCACATGTAACAAGTCCTTAAGAACGAGATAATAAGAGACTTACGAAGAACTCGGCGGCCGCCTATGACATTATTGAAACGCTCAACGGTGAGGAGCTTCTTATACTCGTTGCGAGGGTCATTGACTAAGGAGATCCATGTGTTTACCTGTACATACCATAAGAGGAAATACAAATACTTCCGCGGAATTCAAAAAGATAGCATACGGGATAAGCATTGGCGGGAATGGTCCTGTAAAATTCAAGTGAAGTGCCGTTCCATGCCTTTGCTCTTCCATCTTTATCATAGTACTCCCACGTGAAATTTTCGGTGGGCATTGGAGGAACACCAAATAACGTAGTTAGTATATTCCAGTTCTCTGCCATGAGCTCTTCTTTCTTTCTTCGAGCGGAGTTTAATAAGACGTCTTCACTTACAGTTCCTCGAAGAGAGGAAACGAGTCGACGAAGAGTGAGACCATCTTCAAGTACTTTGGGTTTGAGGAGTTTGGATATGTTGTAAGAGGAGGATGACGAGACCGATTCAGGATATATAGATTGTGGCACGATGCCGTACATCTGAACGCGATATAATGTAAGCGTCTCTCCATCAGATGATTCGATCAATGTACTGGATACTGACCTCAAGGAGGTTTATGGCCAGATCCCATTGGCCAACATCTGTTAGAATATCATCGGTCATGAAGTTCATGAGTCGGTTGTCAAGTGGGAGATCTGCGGTCTTGATAAACCATTCGAGATAGTAATTACACCTATTCAGCTTATCCCAGAAGAAGAGGTACGACTAAGAAAAAGTGAGGGTATAGATCTCGTTCGCCATCTGTTTACTGATAGAAAGAAGTAACTCACTTGAGAAGGCTGAAATTCTTTCAACCCAAGCTCTTGCATAAATGAATAACGCCATACATTTGTGGCAGCAAACAGCCAACATCTTCCAGTCGATTTCTGGTCTGCTATCTGGTCTGGCTTGAAATCTAACAAGAGGTTAAAAACGTATGGGTCGACAACGCGAGTATCACGAGATACGAGTGCATCCTTGAAATTTGTATTAACGAAAACAGTGCGAGCTAGTTGAACCTTTGGGTCCTGTGCCGCTTTGTTCTCCCATTCTCGGATGGCTTCCAGTGTGAGAGATCCATCTTCCAAGATAGGTTCTGAAGACTTGACGGCATGACTCTTTATGCCAGGCCGCTGCTTTGAAGAAGGTTCAAATTTCGTTCCGTTGTGATCAGAAGTTGATTGTGGCGAGCTCATGGACAGTCGTGAATGAGGGAGCAAGGCGATAATCCGAATTTTTGTGAAAAGAAGCACCTTAAGCAGGAATGAGGTCAAGCAGTGTGTGTGGCACCACGAGTGTGCAGGCTAGCAGTAAGCCTGTATTGGCCCGTTATACCGCGTCGGACTAGAGCCTAAAAGGTGAAACACTACGCCACTTGAACCACTCTTTGCAGCAAAAAGCTGTCATTTCAGTGCTCCTCTGTAGAGTGTAGAAAGTTGATATTACGTCTGTAAGTAAGACAGGTTCCGCATCTGAATGAATGGAAATTTTGAACATAAATTACCATAACGAGGCAACCTCCGGAATACTGTATTTCACCCAGAAACGCTCACTTTAAGGGTATTTGCAGTCTATAATTACTAAAACTCATTATTATTTCACAAAAAAAATACTATTAGAAAGGTCTTCATATTAGCTACAAAACTTATGTTTTAATTTTTTGTAAAATTAAAAAATAAATATTTTATTGAATTTACGCGTGAAGGACTCAAAACTGAGCGTTCGACGTGATTCACCAGGAAACGCACACTCGTGGGAAACTAAACTTAGAGAAATTCGTGCGTGCATTCACTCAGTACGCAGACTCGACTTCAATCCTATCCAGACCAATTTACTTTGGTCTGGGCAGAAATAAAGGTAAGTACAGTCTATTAGTCATATACACTCTATTAATTAATGGAATATATGGTTCTTTATACAGGAACAGGCTCGTCGTGATGACTTAGAGTCTCTTGCCTACATTCTAATGTCTGCTTCTTGCTCTCCTCTGCCTCTCGTTCTCCTCCTCCTCTGCTTCCAGAATTTGTTGCTGTTCCTCTGGTCTGCTAGCCTTATCCTTCTAATGCCTGGGTCGTCAAGTTTGCTCAGCGATCTCTCTCTCTTCACACAGTCGCAAGCGTTCCGCCATCTCACGTCGACATCGATTAAGCTCTTCCTCCTTTGCTGTGATCTTGCACTCCCTCTGCTGTCACAGTTCCACCACTCGCTGATACCTCGTTCGACTGTTCCTGAGAGATGGATTGATGTTGATGATGGACGTTGGCCAAGGCACTGCGTGGGCCTGTTTGGACAACAAAATCCCATGTCTGAGGAAGGGTTGGTGGGTAGTTACTGGTGCACACGTTCTCCTTCTCACTCTCCAAATTAATGGCTGAGTTGAGAGTACGGTAGGCTGGTCTTGGTCTTGGTTGCTTCCTCGGTAAATCGGCTGTGCTCTTCGTCGCAGTCCTTTCTTCAGATTTCTTTTTCTTCTTCAGGTCCATTTCTGCAGCTCGCCGTGCCTTCTCCCTTTCCCTCTCCCTCCTTTTCTCTTCCTTCTCCCTTTCCCTCTCCCTCCTCTTCTCCTCCCTCTCCCTCCTCTTCTCTATAGTGATCGCTTAATACTGAAACATATAACCTTTAACATACGTATGCTTTACAATTTTTTTTAACTATAAAAACTGTACTAATAAGTAA